ATATCATCAACTATTTACATGCTGTTACTTAGTTTAAACGTATTTCAAAATTATAATGAATATAGAAACAATTTAATGTGAGTGTGAGAGTGTGTGGTCTCTGGTGCGGAAGTTAGTTACAGTTCCGAGAAAATAATTTTCAGCGTTGTTCATATCAATGAAATAAAAATTTCAAATTATGAAATCTCTTAGTTTAATGACTAAGTCTTAGACGTGATTTGAAACCTTTTCCTATGGTGTATTTTGTATGAAACATAAGATGGCTAATTAGTTTTGAACACATTTCATCATTAAAGATGATTTATGTCATTAGAGAATAACTTGGCTGAAGTTTTGTCATCATCAGTATTCAAGGGAGTTTCTGCTATCGTGTATGAACGTGGATTACATGAATTTACAAGCATAGTTAACACTTTCAGGTTTCACTCAAAATGTCATGGAAATGAATTTGGATATATCCAAAATACGCTGGTCTAAATAGTTGAGGCTAGTAGATTTGTAAGGAGACACATGAACACGAGGTATAATATGGAGAAACTGACAACAGTTAAACACAATCAACTGTTCCTGAAATTGCAATTTAAAGAGGACGTGGCTACTGAAGTCCTCCATCTAAGATTATCTAGAGCAATAAAATGGACTTACACTGTCGCCATCCTTTGTCATTTTCCAGCCGACAAAGTAGGTTTGCTCAAATGAAAGACAAGCTGTATAGCTGAGTCACTTCTATGTGTGTTTACAAATTCATTTGCTTCTTTGGTGAAAGCTGGTTATATAGGACGATTAACTAGACAGTTCAAAAAAAGGCATAATCACTGAGTATCTTCCTTCATGGTTCGAAAAAGCGAAATAAAATCTATAAGAAGTTCTATTTTGTCTCATTTGAGTGGTGATAGTGGTCACCAAGTGGACAAGAGAAGTGCCTTCAAAGTTATCTATTTCATTCCATCGAAACTCTCGAACGGAATTTGAACCCGCCTTTTATATATATATCCGGAGCGATGGGAATCATTTCGAGAGAACAATCCTAGTCTCGTTCTACCCTTATCTCTCTCTCCCTTAGTCTAGGTAAAGTTTGATTTAACAAAAACTCCCACTCTTTCTTATTTTCCACTTCCTTTCGTAATTCTATGATATTTATTCACATTCTGACTATCTGTCCACTTCGTCTTTAGTATTATCTAACTTTTAAGATTTGACCTAATTGTTTATTTAATGGCTTGTCTAGATATACACACATATTTTACCACCTTCGTTATTCTTATCGCCTTATTATCAATATTTTTACTATCATTATAATCTTCAAGTTTTGGTTTTGTAGGGATTTTCATTTGATTTGGTTGGAGGATTTCATCATGAGCTGAGATCAGTTAGAGAACTATTAAATAACCAGGGAGTACTGAACAGCTGTTACGTCTAGCTAGTTTGGGACTCTTAATCAGTACGCACCCACCACCTGGATTCGACTCCTGTACTTTCCGGTAACAAGGCGAGCTCGTGGACCATTATGGATACAGCAGGTCCGGCGTGAGTATAAAAATACTCACCGAAGACATTGGCTAGTGGTCACGCTATGTAGTGAATCGGGAGAAGTTGGAATTTTATTGACCGTTGGATCTGGTCCCAGTGACTTAATGATCTGCGAGCTTGCCTTGTAACCAGAAGATCTTGGGTTCAAACTCAGATGCTGGGTGTTTACTGATGAAGAGTCCCAAACTGAGTGGACGAAACAGCTGTTCAGTACTCCCTGCAGGTTTTCCAGTGGTTCTCTAACTGGTGTCAGTTCATGATGAAATCCTCCAACCAAATTATTATAATCACCGTTATCACTGACATTCAAAACATTTAACACATTATTATTATTATTTGATCCACAAACTCATCGTCATTGGTTAAATTTTGCTTGATATATAAATCTATGTAAATTAGGGTAAAGCGTGAAGATTTAACTGGCAACAATATTATTCGCTAATGTGTCTTTTTCTGAAATGTCAAGTTCCGATTGGGGACCAAATGCATCTGTTTCAGTTCATTCCCAAACACTGCTAAGTGTTTTTAGTTAGATCAAGAGCCGACATTAGTTAGGAAACCATTAGAAATCAGGAAATTCTTCAGCAAAACTGATGCACCATTCTACCACTAAGAATCGAATCCATGAACTTCAGGTTACGAAGTTACCATTTTTTTACCCTTCAGTCTGTGGGACGAATTTCAACGCCCATTGACTTCTTACTTATGCTACTTGCAGATGTCTAGCTCTACTAGCAGCCATTGTCACTGGTGAGCATCCATCCGTGTATCGGTGGTTCAGCGGTAGAGCGCTGGCCTACAATGCACGTTGTCCGGGTTTGGAAGGCCGGTCGGTGCAGAACTTCAACTCCCTTAGCCGGTTACAATCCCAAAAAAAGGTAAGGTAGGGTGGAGGCTGGTAACCCCATCCCATAAGATAACCCCAGTGCTACTGAAACTTTGAGCCTCTAGCTTGAAGCCCTATGTTCACTGAGAATGTAAAGGAATAGAAAAGACAACCCAAAATGAGGGGATTCTCATAAACACAATTTCTCATCTGAGGTCGGTCTTTATCAGTTACCAAGGATCCACTTGATTTCAGGTTAGATTACCAGTTGGAGAGTCCGAAAGTAGGACGAAACATATGTTCATTACTCTCTAGTTTGGAATGTTTCCACAAATGAACAACGCCTCGCAGATCAAGTTGAAATAAGTACAATGCCTGCAAAACTTCGAATTTTATGATTAATCAGTGAATTTTCATATATCCATTTCAACCGACTAGATTTAAATAAATAAACAAGACACTTCAAGACAAACAGTTGTAACCTATAGCAACACAAATTTGATTGAATTCCACTCATCAACCGATATTCAGTAAGATGCTACTACTGATGATGTGATGTAAGTAGTGAAATGGAGTGACACGAAAAGTTTATATATATATATAGATGTACATACATATGGTGGTGAAACTCCTCAAATATGTCAAGTGGTCAACATGCTCAACCACTTTCATACTCATCCTCAAAATATGAATAAATACTGACCACTTCTGGAGTAACATCTCACATTTAACAGAGGCGATTCGTATGTTAAAGACATTAAGATTTCCGCCTCATTTAGAAGTTCATGAAAAATACGCCACAAGACTTGAAAATAAGAACAGGTAGTTCAACGGAGAGTCTGTTTTTGACAAATGTATTCACTTAGCTATACAATCTCAGTTGTATAAAATTATTTATTTCGCATATGTGTGTACATTATTATTTATTATTATTGTCTTCTTGGGTTCCTAGCGGAACATGACAGGGATTCAACTGCACGTCTCCATTAACCACTTCTGTCTTCCTTCTGCTGTACTTTCCACCTTCATCCATCTTAGTCCATACTGTTTCAACTCCTCCTTCTATTCACACGATCTCCTCCATGTCACCCTTGCACTGACGTCTCACTCGCCGCTTCCCTTTTGGTCTGATTCTACTTGAGCAATGGCCTGACGCGCTCGCGATGTCACCCAGCGCGATGCCCCATCAGCGAGTGCCCAATCCATCTCAATCCACTTTCTCCTCCATATTTGTTAGGCGATTGGTTCTTGATTTGTTTTTTCCAATAGTTTCTTGTTGTTGGTGATTCTTTCCGGCCCGGCCCTCTGATCTTCAGTATAGATCCAGCGAAGACAGTTGCTGATGAAGGTCTGCAATAGCTTGTTGGAAATATTCTTTGTGACTCGCCTGCCAAGTTTCTGATTTGTTCTGTATAGAAGAACTGACTGACTTTGTATTGAAAATCCGACCGGATTTTGTTGTTGGCTGGCTGAATGACGAAGATTTCAAGATTCGTTTCAGGTTGATGAGTGTGTTTCTCGCCTTCCCGATCCTCGCTCGATTTGACATCCTCGTCCGTTCCGATTGGCTGTAATTGAGATAATGCTCTCTAGATATGTGAATGGAGTAACCTCTTTCAAATCTCTTCCGTCGATGGTGATTGGCGCTGGATGTTTCTGCAGTTGTTGTTGTTGGTTGGTTATTTTCATCACCTCCGTCTTGTTCACCTATGTCCACCTGGAGTCCTGTCTTCGCCGGCTGCCTCTTCGACCAGTTTATCGGTTTTCGCTTGTAAGTCTTCGATTTTGTGTGACTGTGTACATAAGGTGTTTGAAACAAGACAAAAAAGTAAAGGTTATAGTTTATGTCATGAAAAATATTTCAAAATTGTGAGGAATAATCACAACTGTAACTACCGGGGGGGCGGGGCCAAGGGAAGATTAGTAAGTTTACACTAGGTTAACGTTATATCAGAACTCTCAGGAAAAGTTCGATGCTAATGAAAAAGTATGGAGATAAGTATCAACACAAATAAGTTAATTATTTCCATTTAGAAGTAACATTCATTATCAATCATGCCCCTCATCCAGATAGACTTCCGTCTTGGCGAAATAGGCTAGTAACTCCTGAACCTAGCAGACTCTGACTTTTCGTCCATGCCGTCTCGAATATCATCCAAGTATCGACAGGAGAATAATGCCTTTACGTCTATTCAAGGATTTATTTTGTTCAGACTATCTCCTTTTAGTTCTTGTGCTCCGATGAGGAGATGGGACTTCAGGCTTTGCAGTTTCAGCAGAGGTGGTGTTATTTCCAAGGAAATGGGATTGCTAGCCTCAGACCATACTTTACCTCTTCGCAAGGCTTACTAGTGAATAGCAAAGTATGCGAGATTTAGGAGTACATCGATAAGGGAGTTACACTGGCACTCTTGTTCCTTTAGACCTCAACTTTTCGACTAATTTCTTCTAACTCTAGAAGTATAGATAAACAAATAGATTACTGAAGGAAGAACATCTGAAACTCAGAGAATTTTATGAATTTTCCTGATAACCCAGACTACGACACTGCCATACAGTTAACTCAGTTTCTCAATATTCTTATTATTATTTATCGCCGTGTAAATACACTTTTGTTGACTGACATTTTCTATGCTTGTTTCAGCTAACCTCTACTTTACCTGAACAAACAATCTCAAATGAAAATCCAATGACTCAGATAAGTGATGATCTAGAAGGCATTTTTCAGCGAAATTTGACCACATCACTGACACAAACATCCATTCGTCAACAGATGAACCATGTTCTACATCTGCTGACCTCCATCAATTCCCTATTATCATTCATTTTACCAGTTTACATAGAATCGAATGATGAAAAGATCAAGGATAAAATCTCACTGACAATCAATGAAATACTTTCAAGGCGAAAACTGAAAAAAATTATTCTACATCTTATTGAACATTTAACTGGTATACCATTTTTAATAAATGCCTTCTGTGTCGATGTAAATGATCCACAGAGTTCAATGAAGCATAATTGTTATCAAATTGAATTGGAAGCATGGATCAGGGCATATGAAATGAAGAGACTAGTAAGTTGTTGTATAGTCAGAACGTTGTTTATTGTTATTTTGTAATATAATGTAATCGATTAAAGAGTGAAAAGTTAATTGCTTGATGGAAAGCCTTCAGCATCATATTGTCCATTTTGAAATGCTGAAATTAGCTGGTTGGAGCCATTGAGCAGGAGGCTTCTGGCCTAGGTTTAGTGCTCACTTTGGCACTCATCACACAACAGGGCGTATCTGCAACCAGTCAGGTTTGCAGTGGGTAGTGCGGGTTCGAATCTCAGAAGGGACATGAGTTCCTTCAAGGTTTTGGATACGACTTGCTGACTAGTGAGTGACAAATTGAGCACGAAACCTAGCTGAAGCAAGGCTTCCCACCGACTGCCTCCAGCCACTTGATAAATCGACAGTTCAAGGTACACCGTGATGGCAAGCCTCCTAGAATGGTGGCCACACTGCAAACTTGACTGATAGAATTCAGTATGAACAAGACGAAGGACTATATACATTACACTAGTTACCAGTTAGTGTCCTATCAAAGCATTTTGAAATGATGTTAGAAGTGTATCAAAGAAACTTGGCCTAGTAGAGGACAAAGCTCCACGTGACAAAACCCTGAAGACATTGAGTTTAATTCGTATTGTAACCCATACTTTCATCTTACTTTCAATCATCAAGCATTTTTGTTTTTTCTTTTAAGTTCTGAGTGAAGCAGAGTGAGTTTCAGGCTTTGGAGTTGCAGTATAAGAGGACCTCCAACGCATCTGACGAGTATGCTGCAACTGAACCATCAGTCCAATACTACAGCTAAGAGTCTCAACCTCGAGGGTTTTATAAATCATATGGATTTGTCACAGAGAGATATAATTGATGTCAGAAGGTTGGAACAAATTCGTTTTGAACCCCAGACCTTACCTGCGGGATTATTTGAACTTGATAAGAGAGAAAATACAAATAATCTCTGGGTGAATGATTTTAGGCGATCTCTGTACTCATAAACCTGGAAATTGTTATAAAAGCTTAACCGGCAAAGCTTTCATACGTGTTTAGACATGTATAACATACTAGCCAAAAGACTCATTTTCTCTGAAGTTCTGTCTCAAGATTGTTCGAATTACGCTTAAACGTTTCTCTGAGAAATGTACTGCAACTGAAAGTCTTATAGATGAATAAGTGCACTGCCAACTCTGTCGATGGAAACCAGTAGGTAATTTTACAACCAGGAAAGAAGTAAAGTTATTTGGAGGATGGTGACTGGCAGTTAAATTCGGGACGCGCATTTGTTCCCATTTGGGACTCGTCATCTGGATGTACCCGCATTCTCCAATGAATGATAGTGTCTCCACAGAGGATCAAACCCAGTGCCAATAGTTTCAAACGCCAAAGCGTTATCCACTAGATCACTCTGGCCACGAGAGCCACCTCTTGTGAGACGGTTCATATTATTTATTTAATTGAATTTTTGATTTTCTCGTCGATTGATTGGACCGAAGTGCTCGAACTCAGGTTGACATGTCTGCTTCTTGTGCAGATGCTTTGACGATGTCTGAGCATGTAATTAGAATTTAGGATTTCATCATGAGCTGACATTAGTTAGAGAACCAGTGGAAAACCTGGGAGTACTGGACAGCTGTTTCGTCCTAGTTTGGGACTCTTCAGCATTACGCACCCACCTGGATTCGAACCCAGGACCTTCCGGTTAAGAAACGAGCTCATATACCATTAAGCCACTGGGACCCGATCCAATGGTCCTTGAATTCTAACTTCTGCCAATTCACGACATAGTGCGACCGCTAGCCAATGTCTTCGGCGAGTATTTGTCCTCACACCCGACCCGCTGCACCCTACCAGTCACGACTTCCCACTGGAACCCAAGTAACTACCTACCTGAATAGGCTCAGTCGCCAGTGAGCATCTCATTGGTATTCAAGTGTTGGTTTGTAGGGATTTGATTGGTTTCAGGATTTCATCATGAGCTGACATTAGTAACCGGAAAGTCCTGGGTTCGAATCCCGGTGGGTGCGTACTGCTGAAGAGTCCCAAACTAGGGACGAAACAGCTGTCCAGTACTCCTAGGTTTTCCAATGGTTCTCTAACTAATGTCAGCTCATGATGAAATCCTGAAACCAATCAAATCCCTACAAACCAACACTTGAATAATTAGAATTTAGTTAGAGGATGGTGAATAGCAGTAGAATCTAGAACGCGCATTTCGTCCTTATTGGGACACTATAAATAGGAAAGATTTTATTTTATTTTATAACTAAGAATAATGATTTTCACGAGTTAGCTTGTGATGATTTGATTTGTTTAAAGTTTGATCACGGATTGATATCAGTTGGAGAAAAAAACCAGTGAAAGACAGGTAGTACTAGATAACTGTTCAGTTAGCTGGGTTTGCAACTCATCTACAGGACGCATCAACCACTACATTTCGAACACAAAACCTTCCGGTTGCAACAAAAAAGCTCGTAGACCGATGATATTAGCTAGAGGTTGCTCTATGCATATCGCGAATCGGTAAAACTTAGAATTAATAGGTTAGCCATTGAGTCGAGTCCAAGTGGCCAAATAGTCTACGAGCTTGCCATGTAACCGAAAGGTCCTAATTTCGAACCATGGCAATGGGTGCACGCTGATGATGAATCCCAAATCAGGCGGAAACAGCTCTCCAGTACTCCATGATTTTCAATGCTGGTTCTCTAACTGATATCAACCCGTGGTCAAACTTGAAGTAAGAACGATAACATTGGTAAATGGGTTTGATCAGGAAATGCAGTACGTAACTCAATTGAATACCAAATACGCATGAAATACCTTTTGCTACACACAGCCCATGTAAAAGATCAGAAAATAAAGCTCGTCTGTGAAAGCGATAACAACAAACACGCTATTAGATAATCAAATAAAATTAAGCCAGTCTCAGGGGTTAAGTAAACTAAACTCATTGAAAACATGCAGTAGGCCACAGGCCTGGGTTGGGTGAGAAGATGGGTACACGTTAGTCCGAAAAGAGGAAGCTAGTAGATTCCAACGTTGCGGATAACTTATATCTCATGTCAAACAAACTTGAAGACCCACAGATGAAAACCAATAGGGCCACAAGAAAACCATGTATAAAGAATAACTCTGAAATAATGGTTAGAATACCAAGATCGTTGAAAATACAGTACAAAAGCCAACACAATCATTTCATTCTGTATTTTGTAGATGAAAAGATCCAAAAGAAAAAGAAGATAAAATCAACACTATTTACAAGATAAACTGGACGAACTGTGATAAACACTACGTCCGTCAAAGAGGGCGTCCTCTTCGAAACCAAATCCAAGACTACAAATTAGCTGTAAAAAGGCACGATATGCACTCTTTCATACCAAAGCAAGTAGATAACTAGGGACACTAATTTGACTAGGAAAATGTAGAAATTTTAAATAGAGGAAACACAACAAAAATGCCAAAGAATTTCTAGAAGCCTGGTACTCAAGTGACTAACTGATATGTATCCACATATATATATTTATGTGTGTGTGTGTGTGCATGTTGGTCTCTCTTTCTGTTTGCTCTCTTAGTCTGTGACCATTTCACTTGTGTGAACTTGTCTCCTTTAATAATGTGTATTCTCCTTATATTATATTATATATAATATGAGTGTTTGTTGACAGTCCGTTGCTTGGTGACATATATCCATATATGTTTGTTGGCATGTCTGCTATATTCGCTATGTATAATTGGATCGACACTCCATTATAATTAGCCATTCATGTTAAGACTGTCTAATGATTTTTCCCACGCTTTGTCTGAATTATTTATATATATTCGCATTCAACAATTTGTGTGAACTACTTTACTTTACAACTACTTGACTTGCTTACCACTTTGGTGTGAGACCATTTATTTTCGTCTCCTTGTGTTTGGACAATAGAAGTATCATCGAAAACCTAGTGGTCTTCTGATTTCCGCCTTCTCGCGTCAGGACTATTAGTTTCTCGACCAGCCCATAACAATAATTCAGCGACGAGTACATAACACTAACAAACATATTACTGAAGATCAGATTCACCAGGTCAAAAAAAAAATGGCCAATAAGGATATAAATTAACAACCAATCACCATGATTTCATACATTTATTCCCCCTAATGAATTTCAATAAAGCAAGAACAACAGTTTGTGCAGAATAAAATGGTACCATCATTGTTTATTCCGTTGACTTCTCATCATCTGCTTACAGCCTAATGACACTATTAAATATATCCACAAGAATCATTTTAACATACACATACTTCATTTTAAAATAAAATCAATCAATATATGCCTACAGTGTTAATAATATTAATAAACACTTTATCCCAAACAATAACGATCATACACAACATTACGCAGTCAGGCATTTGATGGAGATCGCTTCAGCAAACTTGATGAGAACTGAACTCTTTTGCTTAATAATAGTTTTGGACGATCATGAGACATCCATCTCATGACCCGTGTCAAGGAGATGCCTGATGATGATACTGTTTAAAGCATTTATTCCCTTTAGATATAGGCGTTTTAGTACATGTTCAGAAAATCGTAGGTATGCTGATCTTTCTGTTTCTTCCAATGTAACTGCTTCCTCAAATACATTGTATCAAAAGTCGACAGATATCCTTCTCATGTTTAATCCAACTGTGAATAAAAATTGGTTTCTGTAGATACACTTAATAATGTCTTTGGAATGTGAGCGACTAATGAGAAGTCAACGAAATAAATGGTGGTACCATTTAATTCTGCACAAACTGTTGTTCGCTTGCTTTGCTCAAAATCATGATAATGGTTGTCAGGAGATACAGGTATGTCACTATTCATGAAGAATTCAGATAAGTTCATTTCATACTCAGACACATTCTGAAGATTTTGTCTAGAAGGTCAACAAACGCTTCACAATTAAAGTAATCAACTCAGAGAACACAACTAAATCAAGATCATCCTACTGAGGTACAAAGCTTCTCCAATATTTCGAAAGCCAGGGAGTTAGAAGAAGATGCTG